GTTGAAAAAAGTCATAGTATAGCATGTTGAAAAAAGTCATAGTATAGTATGACGAAAAAAGTCATAGTATAGCATGTCGAAAAGAGTCATAGTATAGCATGTGGAAAAGAGTCATAGTATAGCATGTTGAAAAAAGTCATAGTATAGTATGACGAAAAAAGTCATAGTATAGCATGTTGAAAAAAGTCATAGTATAGTATGTTGAAAAAAGTCATAGTATAGTATGTTGAAAAAAGTCATAGTATAGTATGACGAAAAAAGTCATAGTATAGTATGACGAAAAAAGTCATAGTATAGCATGTCGAAAAGAGTCATAGTATAGCATGTCGAAAAAAGTCATAGTATAGCATGTCGAAAAGAGTCATAGTATAGCATGTCGAAAAGAGTCATAGTATAGCATGTCGAAAAAAGTCATAGTATAGCATGTCGAAAAAAGTCATAGTATAGCATGTAAAAGAAAAATCAAAAAAAGTCACAATTTGTTTTCCTGTACCCAAGCTCTTCTTTTTCTGCAGGATCTGGGTCATCAGCTTCAAGAGCCACACCTGGTCCACGGAGTCTCTTTCTCTGTCCTCCGAGGGCCAATGTTTTTCTGTTTTCTGCAAACATTTTTACATATCCATGAATGCTTACTTAACCGATTACTGACTTTCATGTTTGATTGTTGAGTTGTGAATAAGTAATTCCAAAAAATATTTTTCTATGTAAATGTGCTAAAGAATTCACATTAATATTAACGTCAAATTAAAATGCATAATTTCCTGTGACCAGTTGCATTTGTATATCACCACACCAATCATTAAGTAAGAGACAAACATGATTTGACACGGTTAGCTTGCTAACGGTCCCCCGGATGCAGCAACACAAAATTGATCGTTTTGTAAAATGAAAAAGTGATGCAGGAGACAACCCTGTGCCACTTAAAGCTGCAAAGCATGTTGTGGGGAAATATGACCCTGAATACATACATTTGGACTTATAATTTATTAATTACAGTTGACAGTGGCATAACACAGATTTACAGCCCAGTTTATATTTTGTCAAGTTCTTTCTTTCCCCTTATTTAATTGTGAAAGGTCGAGTGGATGTGCTGAAGGGAAAAAAAAAATATACTACTCCAAGATTTCCAAACACTTCATTTATTTGACATTATACTTCAAACGAAAATAAAAAATATTCATATATATATTTCATATAGAGCTAATGAGCAAGGTACAAGTTTAAAACAAAACACAGAAGTCTTGTGTGGCATGCATATATATATGCATACATACACATATATGCATGCATACATATGTAAATATACATACACATACAGTATATATGCATATATAGATACGTATACATACACACACACAAGGCGTGGTTTGAATACTATACAGTGTGTATTCTTAGCTGCACAGGTTTCATGGATGCTTATATTCTACACTCAGTTGAGGCTTGATTTTAGTGAGAGGTCAGGGATCGGGCCAAGTGCTTAAAGACTGCTGCTTACAGTAAAACATTTCAATCTCAACACCTAAACAGTAGGACTTGCAAAAGCAAAGCTCATTAGTGTTAAGAGTTTCACACTATAGCATTAAGTAGGAAAATGATGCAACATGATCATTCTGCAATTCAAATGATACTGTACAGTCATGCAAAGTCCTATATAGTTGTTTTTTTCTGAGATGATATTCTCACACCAAAGTCAAAATTGAGCAAACACAAATCCAGGTTTTAAGAAACTTAAAAAAAAAAAAAAAAAAATCCAGTATCACTAACAAGTCACAGTTGTTCACTAAATTTGACATAAGTCAGGATGTTTGGTTGCACTGCAATAATTGACTTGAAGTCACTAAACCAATTTGAGACGAAAAAAAAGAAGCTTCCTCAAGTAGTCAAGTGATAAGTGCAATCCCACCCCTCTTTTCCCCCTTCACACACACACACACACACACACACACACACACACACACACACACAC